ACAGTGAGGATGAGGATCAACAGCTTATTGTTATTGATTGCTACTGCTAAATGATCTCTCTTATTCCATGTTGTGATAGAGAGAGAGAGGGAGAGAGAGAGAGAGAGAGAGAGGAAGGGAGGGGATAAGGATCATGGTATTGGTATTGATTGCCCCTCTTTCGTTCTCTCTCACACACACGCCCCTGGAATGACTTCTAAAATTTTAGCGCCTTATCGAGGCAGTTTGATCTACTTTAGTTTATTAATTTGACTCTTCGACCGCAATTGAAAGAAATGTGTGAAAAGTAGAAAACGGTAATCGATTGAAATCTTCAAGAAATGGAGTCAGGGATGCTCTGAAAGGAAGCAGGTGTGCGGCATTTGGTTGCAATACGAAAAGAAAACAATATAAAAAAATTTTCAAAAATATGTATGAGTATCAGGAATCAGCTAAAATCTCTGAGTCCACCTTAAATTTTTGATCAATTTACCTTTAATTTGTATATTTTCGTACATTTAATTTATTAAAATAGATACAATTTATTTAATATATATATTTACCATTATTGTATATATAATTAAATAATATTTTTTTTAGATATTTAATTATTTATTTAATGGCGATTATTAAAAGAAAATTCAATTAAATTAAATGAAAGATAATAATTAATTTGTATATTTCTAAAATAAAAAATATTAAAGCAAAAATGGAATTTCATTTATATTATGAAAACAAAACAAGAATAGAAATTTGAAGAATCGCTTAAAAATAACACTGAATAAAAACAACGGACAGATGTGTGCCTTCTAGGCTCAAAAATAAATATAGTTATAAATATAAATTTATATATATAGAGTGCATAATCATCTAAGCCCGCTAAATATATTTGAAAAAAGGAAGAAAAATAAACACTTTGGGTAAGTGACGAAAACAAATAATAATAACAATGATATTTATCTTGGTTTTCCTGAAAATATGCGACTCTCTCACTCTTTTAAAGGTATATAGAAAACAATAGGGTCCGAAGCCAAATGGATCATTTCCGAAATCGCATTCTTAATCGCATTCGTCGAGGACAATTTACAAATCCCGTTTCGCCATTGTCCTACTTCAAGTGTACTTCCTGCATGCACTTGAAATCGACAACTCGAACTCGAGAATTTCAATGTTTGTGTATAAGTCGACAAGGAATTTTCCAAATAATGCATTTATGTTATTTACCTGGTGTTTTCTTTAATAAATGTTAAAACATTTAAAACTTAAATGTTTCTCAGGTAGTATTATAGTCCTTACATCAATTGTTATTTTTATTTTTATCATTATCAATTTATCACTTTATTTGTAACTATTTATATTTATTTTTATATATACTTATATTTATTTATATTTTATATTTGAATACAATAAGTAATCTATCTATATTGAAATTTATGAAAATGAATATTTATTTAGAGCCTTTTTAAAACTTTTGTGGACTGCCTTAAGAGTACTTTAAATAAAATAATAATTAAATAAATATAATAAAATAAAGTACATCTATGGTTTAATAATTCTATATAATAAAATGTAAAAAATGTTTTAAAATTTAGCTGTTGTCAATTAAATTAAGTTCAGTGCATAAAAATGATTGTTTATGTTAATAATGTTAATTACAATAAACCAAAAAAATTGAATATTAATATTAACAAAAAAAAAAATATTTAATATTAATGCTCTTTAAATTTAAATTACATAAATAAAATGAACTGTATTTAATTCATTCAATATAAATAAATTAGATTAAAAATAAAATGTAATATTTGTGTTTTTAAATTTTAACAAAAAACATGACAAATTTGTTATAAAATTATGATTTTGTACTGTAAATTAGATTTCAAATAAAATGTATTTGTTGTGCTTTTAAATTTCAATAAAAACATACATAAATGCTTATAAAATTATGATTTTGTACATTTAATTACTGAAAATGCTTAAAACACTCGAAGATTGTTTAGTTGCTTTGAAACCTGTTCTTTAATCTAACATTTGCGTGTGTGTGAAAGAGTGTGTGTGTGTGAGTGGAAGTAAGATAGCTGTCAATAGCGACGACAAGGGTGCTCGAAAACAATAATTATGCGTTTCTATGCGGGCTACTCGCATATGATTGGCTCAACAAGCAGCCCTTGCGAGGCGCGAACCAATCATAGGCGTACACAGGCTGACGCAGGCGTCAGCAGAGGCGGAGCGAACAGCTATGCAGCTGGCAGCCAGTCCACAGTTAGCTTTCCATTTTGCACGAGCAGCACAGCAACACTGAGCAGCGGCAGCAGCAGTGAAGAGAAGAGGGGCACAACAATTTTTCGCTTACTCACCCAGACCCAGTTGAAACTCGGCGACGACCACACGCACGATTTGAGCGCTCAACAATTTCAAACTTTGAAATCAATCTATATATATAGATATATATATATATATTATATAAATAAAAGCAATAAAAAATTCGCGTTCCGGTTTAAAAATTAAACAAATGCAGTGAAGCAGTGTTGTTAAATGAATTAAATGTTAACTACAAAAATAAAAAAGTATGCAACTTTTTTAATAGTGTATATTTACTACTATAAATTGTTTTATAAATAGTCGTGCAATTTATTTGATTTTTATTTAATTTTTAGTTAAATGAAAGAAAAATACAAAACAAAACAGCAAATTAAAAATAAGTAAAAACTAAACTTGCAATTATTATATTTTGTTCGTAAAAGTGCCGAACAATCACCATAAATATATGTTTACATTATATATAAATTAACAAAAAAAGAAGGCATTTTAAACCCGGAGTCAAATTGCCGCCATTTAAATTTGACTATAAAATCAAAACAACAACCGATTGTTCCTATAGCAGCTATATAATATAGTAAGACGATGTTAATCATTCAAAATATTATCAAAATATTAGCAGCTTAATAACACACAAAATTCGTAAGTTTGATGAGGATTACAATCTTGATATATATTTCATTCAGTTCGATAATAAAAAATAATCCAAATAAAAATAAATTTCTATTATGAAAAACTTGCGATATTGCTATAAATATATTGATAAACCCACCCAGAAATCTTATAAATATTTCTTATTTTGTTAATTAAAGTTTTTAATTTTATTTTTTAATTTAATTTAATATTGATAAAAATTAATTAAAGTGATTGAAATATTGATAAATAAACCCAGAAATCTTATAAATACTTTTTACTTTGTAATTAAAGTTTTAAATTTTATTTTTGAATTTTAATGTAATCAATTTTTTTAGTTTAGCGTTGATTAATCGAGAGAGCAAATTTGATTACTGTTCTGTTCAAATCTTAGAAAGTATTTTTTCAAAAAATTCGCGTTTTTATTTGTTTATTTTGGGGGTTACATTTAAAAAATATAGAAAAAGCTTTGAGATTTTGCATTTTACATTTTGCAATCACTCCAGAAATCTTATAAATATTTCTTATTTTTTAATAAATATATATAATTTTAATTTTTATTTTCAATTTAATTTAATTCAATACTTTACTTTTTGCCTTTCTTGTGTCGACTGACTTTACTTGACATAAATAAATAAATTATTTTTCCGTTCGTCTTTTTTCTTAAGATATTAGATATTAGTTTTCATTTGTACTCTTTGGACGTTTAGTTTTAATTGTGGAAAGATTTCTAAAAAATAGAACAGAGGATTTAATAATTTTTTAGGTTATATTTTCGTTGGCAGTCTTAAAAAATCAGAGTTTTAAGAATTAGTTACTTAAAGAAGCCTTTATAATTTTTTGTATATTTATTTCGCATTCTTATTAAATTTCTTGTTTTAAAAATTTGTTTCTTAATAATGGAAAATAATTGTAAAAAAATAATATAAAAGAAGCCTTTATAGTTTTGTAGAAATTGTTTTTTTGTTTTTTTTTTCTCTGAATTTATATTCAAAACCAATTAATTTTTCTTGTTTTATGTACGATTTTATTTTTGGCGCGATTTTTAAAATGACAGTTTTTTTAAAGTTGCTGTCCATCTTTCGAAAATTATAATTAATAAATTATTGTTGGAGTCCTAGGTTCATTACTGTTTCTTGGTGTATATCTATAGGAAAGGGAATCTATTATTATTATTATCACCCTGTGTGCATTGATCAATTTTTATAAATAATGGAGAAAACGAAAAATAATACATTAATTAAATTACAGTAAAATAGTTCATTAACACTTTATAATTATTTTTGAATTTTAGAACGTTCATATTTCTGAACTCAATATTTTTTATTGCACCGCGACCTGTTAGATCTATTTTGCCCCCTTCTGAGCCTATAGCTCTTCCATCAGCCCCAGATCCCGTACGAATGCTAGGATCGTTGTTGGGTTGAAGTCTTCTGTGTCTCTAAAATTTAAGACATTCTGTTAGGATGTGTGTCGAGGATTCCTCCTCTCTTTCACAGAACCTGCAGAAATCGTTACTATATTTACCTAGTCTAGTTAGGTGACTTCTTAGTCTACAGAGTCCCGTCATTAGACCGGTAAGTATTCTAAGATTGTTCTTTCCCATGGTTATAACCTGCTTAAAACGTTTAAGATTATAACCACCTAGGAGATATCTGGCTTGCCGGAGTCCTGCTGCCTCCGACCAGCTCTGCTGCCGCATCTGTTTGTCTTCTTATGCCACAATACGGTTCTGGTCGTATTAGGGTCCTTTCCGCCCCCATTCTCGCCTGCTTATCAGTCGCCTCGTTACCCGCTATGTCCCTGTGGCCCGGGACCCATCTCAGGATAAGCCTGTTGTCAGTCCCAAGTAGGTTTAGCTTTGAACGAGCCTCCTGGACTATCTTAGATGTTATTTTAGTCCCCGTTATTGCATTTAATGCTGCTTGACTACTGGATAGGATGGATATATCTGTATCTGTATTCCGATAGTTCCGTTTTAGTTTGAAGACCGCACATCTTCCTATCGCACATACCTCAGCCTGGAATATGCTGGTGTCCGTTCCTAGGAATTCATGGTACGATACCCGAGGGTCCACGACTCCAAGACCTGTGCCCTGATTGGTGAGTGTTCCGTCGGTGTACCACTTTATGGTGTACGGTTTCGTAGGATGGACCTCTTCCAGAGTTGTCCAGTCCCTTTTACTGCTCATACGATAACTAATTAAATAATTTTAAATAAACTAAAATAAATTTGTTAATAGAAAACATTTATAAAAAATTCTAAAATTGTCGCCTTTGAAATTTTAAATAATCAAATATAAAAACAACTTTAATAAACGAAAATATTTCTAAAAAGTCTTTCTAATATAAAGACTCATTTTCGTATATTTGCAAATTATATAAGACATATATATTTACAATAATAAAATGCAATATAAATTCTTTTTGAATTTTAAATCAAATTAACTTTAATAGTAGAAAAAATCCAGCTTGTTAATTTTAAGATTCTATTTTGTATATTTCAAAATTGTTAAATATAATTAATTAATTAATTAGATTAAAAAATGTAATAATAATCTTTTCACAATTTATTAAAAAGCCGCTGGTAATTCTAATTTTTTTAGTGTACTTCAAAAAATTAAGGAGCTTTAATTTTTCTATTTAGCTGAAATATGTTTCTTAATAGAAAATTTTTTATTGTATACATTACTAAAAATTAGAATTGTTAGAAATGTTTTCTTGAGTGTATCATATTATTATTATTATTATCACAGTGTGTGCATTGATCAGATAAAGGCATAAAGATTAGCATAAAAGGAAAAGAAAAAAAGCAGACAAAACAATAACCGCACCTCAGTCGTCGATTTACTGGTTGGAGTTGTATCTACATATAATTTTTTGTTTTTATGATATACGCTTGAAAAGGCATTGTCTGGTGAGGGGGAGGGGAAGGGGAGAGAGGGGGTACCACTTGAGATGTGAAGAGTGTTTTTATTATATCAAGCGTGAAAACGAAGAAACACGGTCAGCACTTGGCAAGTGACATCGAGTGCAGCTCTCATTAACATAAATACCAAAGATCAATATACACCAATGATCACTCTCTGTCTCTGTCTCTCTCTCGCTCTCTCTCTCTCGCTCTCGCTCTCTGTCTCTTTCTCTGTCTGACAGACAGACCCCACAGAAAGTTGAGCTCAGTTTCAGACAGTAATAAACCAAATGAGAATTGCATAACTAAGCGGAAACAAAAAGTATTTGTTTAAAATAAATAAACAGCTCTTTTTTTGTGTGGGTAGTTACCTTCCCCAAAGGCTAGTAGACTAAATTTAGACTAGAAAAAATGCAAAAAGTACAAAAATTGAATTAAATTAAATAAATAAAAAAATGTATTATTCTATATATATAAATGAAAAAAGAAGAAATATTCATAAAATTGTTGTGGGTATTTAAAAGCAGAATGGTACAACATTTGTTGCATGAATTGGGGAAAACCCAGAAAACCCCAATCAGACAAACAAAATTAATTTGTATGAATTAGTCATTCACGAAATAGGACGTTTAAAACTGACTTCTTAATTATAGAAATGGAGGACTCAGAATTGATTACCTGATCGAGTCTATTGTATTGTTATATGTTTATAAGAGCTGCTCTAGTCGGTAGTGTCTCCCAAAACCCAACTCGTTTCTAGAGAAGGTCAAGCTTAGACTCTAATTATTATAATTATTGTCTTAGGCTAATTACTATATATACATACATGACTAAACCCAGCTAATTTCTATAGAATATTAACTCTAATAGATTTATAGACTCTAGACTAAATCGGTAGTGCTCGACCTAAACCTATTTAGGATTTCTAGGTAGATTCTTGATAGATATATAAATACATTTTTGGTTATAATTATTAATATGTATTTGTATAATTTTAGAATACACTCCCAAAATGTAACTACTTTATATATATATAAATATATATCTATATACAGACATGATCTGCCTAAACCTAAGCAACACCTTCTCTAATTAATGCCGCATTTTGTACTATTTATTTTCCAGATAATTTGGCAAATAGTTTTGGGAATGGATATATTACCATCCGATCTGTAGCATGTTGGCTAGTTAGAGAGGCAGATAGTCAAGCAGTACCCGCTAGTCGATGATGATGGCCAACACAGAAAACTTGTCCCCAACGCGACCCTCCACACCCTCAACCTCAAGCACAGCTGGTCAGCACCAGGAGGAGCAAAAGCCGCTTTTCGCCAGCGAGCACTACCCGCTCGGAGGCGGCAGCAGCAGCAGCAGCAGCAGCAATGCCAATACCAATAGTCCGGTAGTGTCACGTCAGATGGCCCTCGAGCAGTACCGGTTGCAGCTGTATAATTATGCGCTGAACATCGAGCGACTTCGGTGTCCGCAATATGGAACGGGTAGCTCGCTGCTACCCAGCTGGTTGCAGCCGTCGGCGACCTATGGTGCCGTACACTCCACCGGCAATCGCTTGGCGACCCTCTCAACGATCTCCCTGTTTCCGCAGACACAGCGTATCTTCCAGCCGGAGGAGCCGAAGCCACAGCACAGCTATATCGGCCTCATTGCGATGGCAATACTTAGTTCGAGTGAATTGAAGCTGGTGTTATCCGATATCTATCAGTACATACTCGATAACTATCCGTACTTTCGCAGTCGCGGCCCTGGCTGGCGCAACTCCATACGTCACAACTTGTCGCTCAATGATTGCTTCATCAAATCGGGCCGCAGTGCGAACGGCAAGGGACACTATTGGGCAATTCACCCGGCGAATATGGATGACTTTCGCAAGGGCGATTTTCGGCGTCGGAAAGCACAGCGCAAGGTGCGCAAGCATATGGGTCTGTCGGTGGACGATGCCAGCACAGATTCGCCGAGTCCGCCACCCCTCGATTTAACCACCCCGCCGCCGGTAGTGCCACAGGCTCTCAACTATCCCTATCATCATCATCATCATCATCATCAGCAGCAGCAGCAGCAGCAGCAGCATGAGCAGCAGCAGCGTCAGCATTATATCGGGCAGTTCTTTGGCAGGGGCATCATTGGCGCACAGCCACGACTGGATTATCAGCAGCAGCTGCAGCAGCAGCAGCAACTGCATCCACAACAGCATCCACAACAGCATCCACAACAGTATCCACAACATCCACAGCACATTTCGTACATCAATTCCACGACGACGACAACAATTGCGAATCTTTATTCGCAGACGCGCAAAAGGCAATTTGATGTTGCCTCGCTGCTGGCGCCCGATGTGCAAATTGTGGACATTGTGGAAGATGATGGGCAGGTTGCCACACAGACACAGCACACGCTCATCACCAAGGTGCAGGTGAAGAAGCAACAAATGATGCTACTCGAACAGCATCCACCACCGAGCAGTAACAATAATAATAATAATCCCGCTCTCGATGTGGATGCCGAGGCGGAAATTGATGTCGAGGATTGCGAGGAGGAGCAAATTGCAGCCGGTACAACCGGTACTACAACGGGTGCTGCTGTGCCCGCCTACCTCAGCGACGTGGAACTGGAGGAGCGGGATCCACACAATTACTCACCAGTGTTGGGCAGCTCAAACGATTCCAACTCGCTCGAGGAGTGCCCGCTAAACACTGCCGGTACGGCTGCTGACACCCTACTGACACCCGCTGCCGTTCACCCGTTGCCCATTTCGTATGTGGAACTTAATGGCGTCGATCCGCAGATACTCAGTCGTTATTATGGCAGCTATATGGCAGCTGCAGCGAGGCGAGCCAGCCTCGAGGTAGCTGCGAGAGCCCAATCGAAGACGACCATGTTGGTTGCCACGCCCCCGCCGGCTATATCAACAGAACTGTTACCTAATAAATCATAAAATCAAAGATTAGTATCAGATACTCATATATATATATATATATATGTATTATTTGTGGGTATATATCTAAATATGTACAGTTGCGCTCAAAATTCTAAAGGTAGCGCTACTTTTTACACTTTACTTCTTTAAATATATTTGTTAAAAAAAAGATATATAATTTTTTTTGATCACTTTTAGCAATATTATCCAATATTGATAGTGATAATAATAATAATAATAATAATAGTGCTTCTCTTTAAAAGATTACTTTATTTTATTATTTTTTAATATACTTTTATTTTTTATTTTCACAAATTTGTATTTATTTGTTGCTCCTTTTTGATATGTATATGTATATTATTTTGAATACCCTATATTTATATAGTATGGAATGCCTTCATCTCATCTGGAATTTTAAAGAGATTTTTCACAACTTTTGATAAATATATCTTTATTAAAAGCCAAATATCTCATTCTTTTTTGTTGTCGTGTTATAAATACTCTTTATAGCTTTTTATTTTTTTCAGATTTTGGATTCATCTTTAGTTGCTCATTTGAAGTTTAGACTCTTATTAATTAAATATTATCATTTATGACACTTAATAATCCTATGATCTGGAATCGTTTGAGTTGTTAGTGATGCTGTTAAAAGCCAACATAAAACAATAATAATAATAATTTCGTTTAGTGTTGATTAATTTAATTAGCCCAAATGGTTTTTTTTTTTTTTTTTAGATTTTATTGTTGCTGTTCACAATTTCAATATTTCTTTGCTCAGCTTAAATTTATTAGTTTTGCTAGACAATTTTCTATTTTAAATAATCTAAATCAATTTTACAGCTTGTCAAGTATTATTTTTATAATTTTTGCTAGCACTTTATTTAATGCAAATTAGTTTGCCAGAGTCTAAACTTTTATAGAAAAATATAGTAAATAACAAAAAATAAATAAATAAATAAATTCCAATTGCGCTAAAAAGTATTTAATCATTTTTTGACTAGTTTGAAGAGCGCTACTATTATTTTGAGCACAGCTGTACTTAAGCACACATAATATATATACATTATATGTTTATGTATAGAAATTAGACACTGCGCCCACCCTGTAAATCATATATTAATATGAATAAAAGTCCAGTAAATATAATAAATAAGTGTATATGTTTTAATAATAATATATGTATAAAAATAAAGTTTTTATTTATTGCTATGATGGTTTTATAAACACACACATAACTCAACTGGCAGATTGGAATGATAAAAGTAAATAGTTAATAATAGCAAATTGCCATATATATATATACATATGTATATATAGTATACGAGTATACTTTAATAAAAAATATATATATGTATCTTAATAAGATTTTTCTTTTTACTTTGCCTTTTCGCTTTCGCTGGAATTCAGTTACGCCATTATTCCAGGCAGTGAAACGAACGAAAGAACGAGGCAATGTGACATGGAGGGAGAAAGCGAGAGAGAGAACGTTACTCGAATCAACGTCGCCAGCTTCCGCTCATGCTGTCTCTCTCTCGCGCTCGCGAAATGTGAGCAAATAAAATTGGAGCTTTGCAAAATGTTAACAAAAAAGTTTTGGAAGAGCAGCCCTTTATTTGCAAAAGGTGCTCAACTTTGCTAGCTTGCCAATTAAAAAAGCTTTTCGAATCGAAAACTTTTGCTTATAGCAAAGATCCACACCAAACATAGTTTGGTATTTATACACAGCCATAAACAGAGTTTTGCTCCTTTCCAAGTAGAATAGCTTTAGCCAACTGATCGAAAGACGCACAATATAATATAAAAATCGTTGTAGTTATGCATCTTATCAAAGGTCTAAACCAAATATAAATTGTGTTTGCGTATTCAAATTGTGGCTTTCGTATTGCGTGCAATATTTTCGACATCATTTTGTACACATAAAATATATCAAATATGTCAACCATTTATTTATTTACGAAGCTAAAATCTAATTGTAAAACCTTAAGAACGTAGGGTTTGTGTATGGAATAAACAGATAATAAATGCTCAGCGTTGCCGATTAGAAATTAAACTGGAACTTAATTTGGTCCGACTTATTTTATTTCTTGGTAAATTTTTATATTTTAGCTTTCTTGTTTGGCTTTATATTATCATTAAATACAAGTAATGTAAGAATTCACTTTAACAAAGATTTGAGTTAATTTATAAATTATTTGAATTTAATTTGAAAAGCAAACAAAGGCAATGCAGATATTATTTCTGCAGAATATTAAAAAAAATACCTTTAAAGTACATATTTAATATTAATTAATTTTTTTAAAATATATTTTTGTAATATTAAAAACAGAAAATTATTGAAGGTTTTCATGGCAATTTTCTAAATTACAAGCGTTTCTTTGTTTTTTTTTTTGCAGCAAGGAAATATGATTGGCTGCTGTTAAGTATTTGCTAGTCGACACAAATAGCCAAGTTGCAAACCAACAACAACAACAACAAGAATACGTCATTGAATTGAGTGTACGAATTGCAAAGCGTGTCATGAAATATTTACACAAGATGATGTTGTTGTTGCTCTTGTTGTTTAGAGAGAGTGGCTCAAGTGCACAAATAATTTCCGGATAAATATTGAAAGGGGTGAGCAGCAGCAAAAAATGTTGCTTGTAATACTTGCAAAAAGACACAGAGAGAGGGGCAATGGGCGTTGCCTATGTTCTATCCATAAATCAACGATTGGTCGTCAGTGGTTGGTGCGCAGCTTTCATTGGCTGCTCAACTATTTCATACAGTCCGTCTCTCTCTGCTGCTACTGCTGCTCTCTTTAGCAAAGCAAAGAGTTGTGCTTTACATGTATGCGTGTGTGTGCTTCAGCTAGCCGAAGGCACACGAGTAAAAAGCCGACAGCCTAAAGCAACTCTTAAATACGAAGAGCAGCAGCTGCCAGCATCCCTCTTGGCAGAGCAGCACAGGCAGAGCAGCAGCAGTAGCGAGCAGAGCAGAGCAGCGCTAAAGGTGGAAGTGGAATCCAATTGAAATCAGTGACAATTGAACATTGCCACGCTGTGGTGGTGGTGTTTGGTGGTGGTGGCTATTTGTCTGCTTGTCGCGCGTCGCTGTTACAGTTACAGTTACAGTTACAGTTGTCGCTGCCTATCGTCGTTTACTGTCGTGCTTTTTTGTCTTTGTCGTGCTTTTTGTCGTCTTTGTCGTGCTTTTTTCGTTTGTCGTTCTGTTTACCGTTGCAGTTGTCGGTGGACCGTTTTTAACACTTGACGCGTGTGAGCTTTTTTAACCGTTAGCAGCCACAACAAAAGGATCATAGTGCGAGAGAGAGCGAGAAAGAGAGAATATGTTTGCTAGTCTCGTTCAAATTGTTGTCGCTTGACACAAAACTAAATTTGAACTGTTAATGAAAAAGGTCAGACACTTATCACAAACTGTAAAATGTATTGCGGGCAGGCGCCGCCGACTATCGTCGGTAAATCGACATCAGCATTATTTCAATGTTGTCAAATCTGTGGCTGCTGCTGATCATCATTATTATTATGTTCTTAATGATAATGATGTCAAAATGTGGCAGCGACAACAAAAACTGGCTCAATTAAAGTGAGTGCAGCCCACCTAGAATGAATACAAAAGCAAGAACTCCTCTAAAAAGAAACAAGTGAAATGTGACCCATCAAATTGGGCAGAAAACAATACAAAATTTCAACAGTGCCATATATATACAAATCTAGCAAATTTAAATAACAAAATATAATAATATTAAAAAAAAAAACAGCAAGCGGCGCTAGTCAAAGCAACAACAAATCAAATATATATATATATATATATATATATATATATATATGGAATAACACAATTCAAGCAGAGCGTTTAAAAGCAAAGGTGAGCTTATTGCTAGACTGTGTTAATAACTCCCCACTTCCTCCAGTTGATACATTTTGATCTTTACTTTATGTTTCACTCTCTCGAAAAAACTTTTAAGGAATAAATTTAAATAAGAATTGGAGTCATACTTACATAACCTTTTTATCTGTCTCTTAGCTTACGAGTTATATTAGTTGTTGTGAATTATAAAAAATGTATACATGCATAACTAGAATTTAATTTATGTCGCTCTCTAATTCCAAAATATTAAAATTGAGTTTAAATTAGAATTACACTTCTACAAATAAATACTTGTGATCGCCTATTACTCCCACTGATTATTAGCTGTCATTGCTGATGCGTTAGAACCTGTTGGGAATTCTAAACTGCAAAATCAAATACAATTAGAGTTGTACACAAATAAATGCAGGATAAATTGAAATAAAGCCTATCTATCAAGCATTTGCTATACTTTATGCATCAATTATGTGACTCTCAATTTGTATTAGTTGCTCGTTAGAACCTTTTGGGAATTGTAATGTAATGTAAGGATTAAAGTTATCGTTTATTACTTTATGGTGTCATACTACAGGCGGCAGAACCTGTTGTGAATTTTAAAATGGAAATGAGAGCAAAGCTAAAATCGAAATCGAAAAAAGGAGCAGGCAGTGTTATACAAATTCATAAAATATTTGTATACTTAAATTAATGTTTGTATATCTACTACTTTAGCTTGTGAATTCTACTAGGCAAACTTTAATTTATATATAGTATCTCAAGAAAGGTTTGTTATAATTTTCTCCTGTGTCCAAATACTTTCTTGACATACTGTATACGGACTTAAAATAAATGTATATGCATGAGTGTCTACTTATTTTCTGGCACATCTCTTATTAACATTTATCTCTTATATTTTTGCCATAACACTCTCCTAGTCATTACCTGCTCGTTAAAACTGGTTGGGAATTCTAAGTTGCAATAATGGAATGCTAAAATAAGAGTGACCGTTTATTTCTTTCGAAATCATAATAGTCTCGGTTGGAAATTCTAAGTGCGCTTCGAGTAAGGGATTAGTGTTGTATAAATGCTTATTATTATTGTCTTATTAATATTTCTTATTTTTAAATTTATATATATAATTTTAAATTTAATTAAATTTTTTATTCTTTTGTAGACTTTAGTTGATACTAAATAAATAAACAAATATATAAAGACTTGTATTAAGGTTTGTCAAGCCTCGATCGGCTGCTTGATCTCAAAGATCCAAAACAACAAAGCCAAAATTCGATCTAAATAAGGACTATGGCTAGGACTATATACTATATTCTATATATATATACTAAATCCTATATACTATATAGTATATACTATATACTAATACATATACGCGCGTGTGTATGTATACCCAATTTAAGTCAATCATTGATCTTCTACCACTTTAGCTTTAGCTCGCTCGAACCTGCTGCAAATTGTAATGCGCATTCTAATGCACACATCCAAAACCAAAATAAAAATTAGAGTTAAACAAATAAACATGTAAAATGTGTGTATGTGTGTATATCTTGTATTAAAGTATTTAGCTATTATGAATCTATGAAAATTAAAGCCCCGGGACCTGTTCCCCCTATTAACAACTTACAACTTTGCAACTTGCAACTAGCCACTAGCTGCTGCGCACAAGCATTGAGTGCGACAGGTGCACTTGCCACGCAGACAGCTCTTTGCAAAGGCAAAGCCAAACACGAAGAAGACGAAGAGGAAGACGAAGAAGAAGAAGCAGAGCTTGGCTTCCAGTCGGATGGGAAAACTGTGACTGGTTTTTTGTAATTGTAAATGCGAACGAACGAGACGAACGAGACGAGACGAGACGGGACGAGATGGGACGAGGTGAGACGAAGCGAAACGAAAGATGAGAAAGACGCAGACTCGACGCGTAACTTTACTTGCAAGCACACACATAAATACACACACGTATATATATATATATATATATACATATATATAACATATATATATATATAAATACATATGTATGTATGTGCATAACTGTAACCATGCGCTTAGCTTTGTCTGTGGCTCGTGTTCGTGCTTTGACTCGCTGTTGTTGTTGCTGTTGTTCTGCTTTCTGATTGCCCGTCTTTTGAGTTGTCCCCTTTCTTTTGTTTTTGTTTTTTGTTGATTTTTGCTGATTACGCACACATTTTCCATTTTCCATTTCCCATTTCTCAATTCCTAATTTCGATCTTGCTGTTAAAAAAAAAATGATCCTGTTCAAGTTACACACACATTCATAAATACACTCACGTACATTTAAATAGGCGTGCTCTGTTTTTCTTCTTTTTATGCTGCAAGTTAGTTTTTGGAACAAAAAATATATATTTTTATTTATTCGTTTAAAATTTATAAAGTTTAAATATTCAATTTTATTTTTAAGTTTATTTTCTATTCTTTTAATGAGTAAATAAATCATCAAAAAAGAATATATACTGGGGCCAGTAAAAATCATATTTTCATGTATCTTACTATTTCAATTAATAAATAAATTATAAGAAAAACAAATATGTAAATTAAACATATAACAAAACAAATTTTAAAAAAAATTTCTGCTGAAATCTAACCAATAAAAAACATAGTTTAATTTGTTTTGATATATATATTTTTATTTTTTATATACGAATCCACCAAATAAAAAAAATATTGAAAAAGCTTTAAGATATCTAATTTCACATTGTTTGTATACTTTTTTGACTATCATTAATATTATTTTTTCGTTTTCGATGATTAAACATGTTTATTTTGAAAATTAACATTATATATATTGGATTGTTTGATTGTTGTTTGGCCTTATTAAATTAAATAAATAATTTATTTACCAAAACAGAAAATAAATAAATAAAATATTTTTTTAACTGTGCTCAGTTCATTAAAAAAACATATTTTAATTACTAAAAGAGCAAATAAAAAACAAAAGAAACATGCAAAAGTGTTGAGAAAAAACTGAAATATATGAAATTGTATTATTATATTATTATAAATATTATAATATGATTATTGTTATTGTTATAATTTTGTCCTTTTTTAATATTAAATATATGTATTTAAGAAAGTAATTATTTTTGTTGGCATTATTATTTTAAATTCTGCTTAAAACGAGCTCTTCTTCTTCTCTGCACATTCTCAGAGAACATCTGTCAAAGTTGCCTTCATTTGGTGTTCTTATTTGCTGTTTGTTGTTTTCCGATTGTTCGTTGTTGGAAAGCGTCATCTAAGAACGCCATAAATTACATTACTGCCAACAACTGTACATACATATGTGCATTTGTACCTAGTTTCATTTGTAGGTACACTTTTACATTTGTACATTTGTTGTTCCATGATTCCATGGTGGAATTGCTTACACGGCAAACTTCAAAGAGACAATCAAGGCAAAATAAAAAAAACAATGAGGCAAATTCTGCGCAAGATGTTTAAAGCGGTAGCTTCTAACTGCTATACTGAGAAAAACCAGGGAGTACTGAAATTTCGAAAATTAGCAAGAAAAGCTCAGAAAGTATTTTACAAATTATTTGTACCAAAAATTAAAAATTTTCATTTCTACTTCTTAGCTATTTTATTCGTAATCATAGAAAATATTTCCAAAATATAGAAAAGAAGTATTGTTATTTATAATTTTTCAGTTCTACTTTCTGTAATCTTTTTGCTATTAATAGAAAATATTTTTATAAAATTAAATTGTAGGAAAATTGTTATTATTTTTATTTATTATTTTTCATTTCGACTTTCCACAAGGTTATTGCTAATTAATAGAAAGCATTTCTATCAAGTAAAGAAAAGGCATTTTGATTTAAGTATTAATTAATTAATTAATTCAGCAAATTTTTATTATTCATTTATTGTTTATTTATATTTATTATTAATTGTTTTTCTCAGTGTACTTGCGTAGCTACGGACATGCATATGCATTCATGCATGTTTGTGTTGTAGGCTTTACTCCTTCCTCTTCAGCTATTCTTCCAGTTTCAATATTCCAGTCAATAGCGGCAAAAAGCCAAAGACGCGTCCACAACTAAAACAATGACAGACAGCGACAAGTAACAAAATAGATGTGTACATTATGTACATACACAAAAGCATGCATATACAAATATACATTTGCGAATTGTTGCCAACAAGGAGAATAGTAAGCTTGTCAACAATGTTGACAATAGCAGTACGTACTCTTGTCAACAGTGCTGCCAATCGCACAACAATTGGCAGTGCTGACGTCACACATTGATTATCAATAATTAGGCAATTGAGCTTCGTTTGTGTGTGTGTGTGTGAACAGCTACCCCCTTCGCACACACACACACATACACAAACGAACATCAGCCGAAATTGTGTTCGTGTTTTTGGCGTGTCTTCGTGTGAACATCGAACTCCTCCCACCCCTTACCATATATTAGTGTCACAACGATCATTTTTTTGCTTACAGTGAATCGACGTCTCACGCAGCTCGTGGGCGATAAAACCAGATGGATAGTTTTTTTTTGTCTTCGCTGCTTCCCCTTTTTGGCACTTTAATTGTTTTGCTTGTTTTTATTTGCAATATTTGTATATACCAATGTTAACGTTAATTTCAGTTTTTAAGTTGAGCAAATTAAGATCCTAGTCAAATGCATTAGAAAGCGGCTGGAAGCGGGCAGCATTCATGGATATTCTATATATATTTTTTTCAATTTGCACACACATACACAGCCAAACATACGCAGTCACTCACACACACACACAGTCACAAAGTCACACCTTGGCGCACGCATGCTCATTAAGCTAAACAGAACTGCTTCGGCCATGAAGAGGAAGCGAGGGGGAAGGGGTGCAGAGGATGAGTGGAGGGGGAGCGAAGGAGCAGGCGGGGGAATACAACGACAGGTTTTTATCCAGTTCTGAGGAGCTGGTAAAACTGGACAACTACCAGCGGAAAGCAAATAAAACAACAAATAAAAGAATAATATCGTTTCTTTGCATACGCACACACA